AGTTGTTGAGACTGGATATAAGAGCTTATTCGTATTCACTTCTTGGCTTTCTGGGGTTGTGTGAGATGTCTGCGATGCAGTTTCTTGGGGTTTATAATATCAGGATGGAAGTTGACGCCCTTTGCAATTACATGCGGCTAATATTTGACGCGGAGTAAGGTAATGCGATGTGACGCCACGACTTGCCCGCCTACGTTTACTCATCTTACACGGCCAAATGTCGATTTTCCCCGCTCGCGCTAAGATCGCTGACAAGACGATTAGGATGACTGCTTTACGCCGCCACAGCGCTATCAATACGAAGGTTTGAATCATCGGGGTAGTGCGTGTTTTTCCCGTTTAGACATTTTGAGCTCCTAGATATCGGCTAAACTGAACAACCGCGGGTTCTGGGAAGCCGAACGCATAGTTTGGAGAGCCAGAGTTGCACTATTCTCAACTTCCATCTCCTACATTGCAATATGTCTCTTAACCACAACGCACGACAGTCCGCTTCGAAGCGAACCTCTGGGATCTGTCAGGTGGGGGAGAGAGCCTTGACCGTTCCGATGCTTTTGTTCCCAAGAGACCCAACCACACACAAGACCCATCCCTGTCCGACCCTAATCCACGTCGTGATCCACTATCTACGACACACAAACATGAGCGCCTAGGGCTCGCCAGACTGTCATCCCCGCCCAAAGCGGGTTGATTCCACGGCGTTGTGGCAGAGTGGTCTAATGCGCAAGACTAGAAATCTTGTTCCTTCGGGAGCGTCTGTTCGAATCAGGCCAACGTCGAGTTATTCTTTTGCTGGATCCCCAGATTCCAATTTTTGTAAGTTTTGTTGAGATGAGTGACTTGCTCGTGAACTTTCATGACCTTGCTGCTACCCAGGGCGAGCGATGCCCTCAGATATAACTCGAAGAAGCAACGGAATGAATGATTACATGGTTGGTTGAGATCACGACCCTCACCCTTGAAATCCCCGAAAAGAAAACCCCCTCCCAATCTCGTCACCCTCCTCCATCACAAACGTACTCGAGCCCGTATAATAAGCCTGTCCACTCACCTCAACCCTCCAAGCCCTCCTCCCACCAACCTCAACCTCCTCCACGGGCGTCCCTACAAACGCCCCGCGATCCCCGCCAACACCCCTCGATACAAGACTGTGATATGTCCACGACTGGCCCAGTTTCCTCTCGCCCCGCGCAGCAGCTAACGCAACACGCGCCTGCACGACTGAACCCGTTGGACTCCGATCAATTTGCTGGTCGCCGAAGAAATACAGTCCCGTCTCCGCACCCGCGCAGCCTTGTGCTGTAGGGAGGACGTCGTTACTACCTGTGTCGGTGACCATGATGCCGTAGAGATACTGCGAACCCGGAACCGTCTCGTCGTCTGCGGGATCTTCAAGGCGGGCGCGGAGGTCTGCTGAGGCGTTGAAGGCTTGCTTGAGCTTCTTGGTTGCGTTACTGAGGCCGCTGACGTCCGGCTTCGAAAGAGACGACGGAAAGCCCAGAGCCGCAGTGGAGACGACGGCATAGAATGCACCTCCAAACGCAACGTCTATCGTCACGGCTGCGGCGTCACCTAGCTCCGGCCACCCTAGATCCCGCGGGATCGAGACAGAGAGATCGACAGCCGTAGCGAAAGTCGGCACAGAAAGAAACGTAATTCGCCTTCCCGTATCCGTCTTCCAGCCTGAGATGTCCCCGGTGCTGCCATCCACATCCACCCTCACAACAGGAACCGTGAGTCTCACCACCCCAACGGGCGCATGCAACCTGACCTCCACCGTCTGCCGCTCCTCATCAACAACCAGCTCCCGCCGCCGCGGGAAGACCGTCTCGTCCGCGCAGTCGACGAGGAACCTGCCGAGCGCGAGGGTGGCGTGCCCGCACATCGCGCCGTACCCCTCGTGCGTGAGGAATAAGGCGCCCATGTGCGCTTCGCCTGCGTCGACGAGTTCTGTGTGGGGCCGGAGGACGGCGCCGTACATGTCCGCGTGGCCGCGCGGTTCATAGATTATGCTGCGGCGGATGTGGTCGTGGTCGGTTTGGGCGAGGGAACGCTGTTCGAGGAGGGTGCCGCTGGAGGAGTGGAATTGGTCACCGGTTAGGGGATGGGGTCTCTCATTGAGGGTGAAGGTGGTTTACTCGTGATGTGAGAGATGCTGGTGGAGGTAGACTTACGGTATGTCTGGGTAGCCGGCGTATACGATGCGCGCCGGCTCTCCGGCCGTGTGCATCTCCACGGTCCGGATCTCGGTGCCCGCGAAGGGCGGTAGGAAGGATGGCAGGCTCATGATGGGTGAGTCAACCGAAGATTCGTAAGTTTGGTGCTCTCTATAAGCCTTAAATTCCACTTGCTGTCAAGGCTTTTGGGAAACCTGCACGGGGGATGATGTAGTTGCAAGAAAGGGCGCAGCGTCAGCCGCTGACATCCGCTTCGCAATCCTCCGAGTCGGGCCCCACCTTTTCCGGCCGCGGGTTGCCGATGTCGGGGGTGTGTCCACCGTGACGGCGGCGCCGGAGCGAGTGCATGTCGGCATTCCGTGAATCAAGGGATGTCTCTCAGTGCACATATCGAATACCAGAAGTCCTGGTGAATAGATCCTGATGAACAGAACCTGATGAACAGACAGGCTACTCAAGACTCGAGATGATCAAAACCCACAATACTTCCTAGCAACCACGGGCAGGATCAAGCTCAGATTAGCAACAGGCAGCTCGCTCACAATTTGGTCAAACATGAATCACTCAGGCAGGACGATGTAAACATGGCTTAAGCAATCGTATCGATTCCCTTGAGAGACCCTCACTTCTTGCAGTCAAGCAGCACGCCTTTTCAGGCGCCAGACTACCCAACAACCACCACGTTTCGCTGCCGCCATCTTTGCAACTAGCTAAGTCCTGAGCTACCCTCAATGGAGTGAAGAGTCATGTTTTGAGATTGCATCTTCTGCAACGGGGTTCAAGTGTTGAGATGAAAACTCGGTTTCGACTTCTCCGACACGTGCCTTGACCTGCCGTTTGTCTCATATAGGTATTGATCGCTGGTGGCCTTTCGTGGGAGGGGTTCTGTTATAGTTCACCATCACGAACACCTACTGCGTTTTGGGATGTCGGGGTTCATCACAAATATACTCACACTTAACAGCTCTTTGCCTCTACCAGGTTATACGGCGGCCATCTAAGTAATTGGTATCTGCGGCTGAGAACCAACTTATGATGGTAGCGTATGGTGTTGGCAGCAGGTAAAATAAACCCATTCTCGACAGCTTGAAGCCCCTAATAGTATTTCCTTTTGGTTCTGTAGTCGTATGCGAATTGAGAGGAGAGATCTGCTGCATAGTCAACATGGTATGAAGAGGCTCGCTCAAACCAAAGTCTCGTGGGAAATGAGCCCACAGGCTTGTAAGCAGAAGAAATCCGTGATCTCCCCTCCGCAACCAAGTAGTGACCGCCTTAGGGACCGGGAAGACCCTGACTCAAATAGACCGCCGTGCGAGCCATACGGCTGCGAACTGGTCCGACGTTCACAATTACCAAACTCTGGTTCCGAGCTTCCGCACTCAACTTCGGACGACCCCCTTCAAAGGCTGGAAGTGGTTTGTTCACGGGGGCCTTGAGACTCGCCGAATCGGCAGCGGTAGCGATAGCGACCACTCTCAGTGACTTACTCACCTTAACTGCGACTGGAAGCCGTAGACCCCTTACTCGCCTCGGATTCTCCCAATCCTGCTCTTGAACAAACGCTGTTTATCCGATGTTTCTGAGGGGATGTAAGTGGCGATTTGACAACGGATCGAGGCTTCCGGTTCTAGAAGCTGGTGTGGAAGAGATTGAGAAAGACGAGAGGGTTAATGAGGGGGCGAGTAGTCACCTGCAAGTGATTTACGCACTTTGACTAGGGCGATGAATGCTGTCACCCTCAAAAGTATCTCATTTCGAGAATGAAGATATACTAGTGCAACCATTGTGAATTGGCGAGAAGTGACAGCCTCTCGCCACCCGACATGGGTAGCCTATGGAATCGGAATCAAGAGTCCAGTCTATTCCTGTTCATAGGATTGTATCCTGCCCCGAAGAAGGCTGCACCCTTGAAGCCAATCGCAGCCCTACCATCTTACGCTTACACCAACCATCGTCCTCACCTAACTACCCAGATCTCACGCACATCACAAGTCTATTCATGGCCACAATCCTCCTTCCCCTCATCTCACACCTCCCTCAGATCAAGTGAAGAGTCCCGTAAGACTAGCCGCAATGATCCTAGTACGAACGGGATCGCGTTCCGCCGTATTAGGTTCACGGCTACATTTCTGACAAGACTCACGGGCTCCTGCAAGATCGTCTGCGGGTGAAGCCTGGAGCTGAACACACATACCTTCCCTCTGATGCATCGCCGGCCCGTCGGTAAGCCCTGTATCCCAGTCTTGCCCATCATGATCTCACTCTACCGTACCTGCTCACCCAAACACCCGAGAATCTCGTACTCTAAACCCATACCATCGAAGTACTGACAAACCAGACACGATTCATCCACCATTCTGAACTTCTGGTCCAGGCCTGCACGCGTGGCCTCTCCCCATTCGAACTTGCATGATCAGCACGACAGATCCGGTTCACGAATCTCGAGTCCAAACTGGGAGTGGGGTGGGTGTATGCACCACCGCACGACCTCATGTGCAGAAACCATTCCACATAACGATCCGAAAATCTCACACCAAGGCTACTAAAATGTAAAAAGGTCATCTCCCTCTCCTCCTGCCCGTCTCGGGCGTCGGGAAACGTTGCTAGAATGTGACCCTCCTTTCTTCTACGTTGTTGTTCTTTCTCTCCTGTACTTTTTCCCGCTGCAACTCTAATACCTGTTACCAGCCCGCTTCCCGAACCCCTTAGCTCAGACCTATTACCCTCAGACCGCAAAGTTTCATCAACAGAGCTGCAGAGAAGAGAGAGAGAGAGAAAACACTCCATGAAGCTGCAGCAGCGCTTCCACCGCGCGCTCTCGAGATGCACATCTCACCCCCAGTGAACGGGCCCGCTCTCTCGACACTATCCCTCCTCCGCCTCCTCTTACTCCTCCTGCTCAGCAACGTCGTCCTCGGCAGCACAACAACCACTCCGACCCCGACCACAACCAGCACACAAAATCAAAGAAATGAACCAGCGGCACCCCCGAACCGCGCCTACAAGGCCCCGCACCTAACCATCACTCCGGCCCCGGACCCGGTCTTCGCATCGCACCGTCTTCTCCGCGCCCGCCAAGGCGACCCCCGGTCCTCGGACGGCCGCACGAATTTCATCGCGTGGTACTCCCAGTCCGGCGCCTGGGTCTCGGCGACATGTCCGGCAGACAATTACTTTGCTGCGGATAGTAAGTTTGGGGTCTGCTGTCCGCGGAATAATCCCTTCTGTGAGATGGCGACATCGTGTGGCGGGCCGTTTGGGAATTATGCTGTTGGGCCGACTGGACAGGCCGACTGGTAAGGACTGACCACTTTCATTTCTTTCCTTTTCATGCCCGGCCGAAACTTGGGGATCATGGAAAATTGCGCAAAAAGGACGCGTACTAATCGGAGAGGGCAGTGGACCGAGCAACACGTGCGATACAATCACCATGCTACAAACGCAAGGCAGCACCGACGCGAGGAGAATTATCTTCTGTATCGCCATGTCGGAGCTCTACGTTCTCCCCATGACTTGGTACCGCGTCACACATCCACGTAAGTACCCCGGTCCTTTTTCCCTTAACCCCGTTACGTACGAGACTCTATCCTGGACTATTTCTACCTACGTGTGATTCTAACAACACGGGTTTCCGCGTTCTTCCAGTCCCAGAAGCCTCCGTCGCAACAGTGACGGTGACCCAAAGCACAACGGTGACGGCGACTCCCCGGGCCGGAGGGAGCCGCATGAGTGGGCAAGCCAACAACCCCTCCCGTTCGCCGCCTGCCATGATAGCTCTAGTGGTGGCTGCGATGATCTCGTGCTTAGCTCTTGCTGTACCATGAGGAAGCCTTCAGGAGTAAACGTAGAGACACAGATGGGCCACCGCGTCTTGGATTTAGTTTACCACACCCATGGCTAGGCAAGCCTGCAACTACCCCATATTGAAGATAGTTATGTTGAGCCAAGTTACTAGGGCTGGCGGCACTGTAATCTCACGCATGAGGCAATACAGTTGCAGAGCCCGTTCTCCGCTAAAGAAAGCGGCCATGTTGCAAAGAAAGCAATTAGGCCAGAACGGAAGAAAAGTTAGGGATCATGAGGCAGGGTATTGGACAGTGTAGAAGAAACCACGACGATATCAATGAACTGGCGGGGTTAAACATAAGGAAACATAAGGTAAACTTACCTTATCTTGATAGGGGCATCACCAGACAGGGACGGGAAAGAGACAATATGCTCGGCTAAACTCCCACACGTACTCAGTACATGACCAGCAGCTTCCAACTGTACATCTTTTTCTAGCGAGCACAAAACGCATAGACCATCTTTTCTTATAATCGGTATCAATGGAAATCTTTTGCCATTAATACAATCACTAAAGGGAACATTGTTTTCCACGAAGAGTCCAGGTCTTCATAGGCCCGAGGGTACCTTTCTCGTCGGCCGCATGTGGACTCCCTGCCCGGCACCCACCGCCGGGCCCACGCCGGGACTAATCGGCCCAGCCCGCCCTACCAATCTTTACATCCTCAACCTCCATGAGTTCGTATCCCATCGTCACCGCAACGCTTCCTAAAACATTCCAATCCCAAGCAGCCCAAATCCCACGTTCATCGGAGCCCTCTGAATACAGATCACCCCATTTAGCTGCATACATTTATTTCCAGCCATTTTCCCATGCCGTAATCGATCCGTGCCTTAGTAGATACTCTGCGCATCGGTCAATCCGATTTCCCTCCCCAGCGCCGTTTGTTGGCGCTGATTCATCCATACAAGCAGGCCATTGACCTTGAGACCCTTGGCCGAGCCTCGACTCTGACGATGTACTCGATACAGTCTCGATTGCGGCGAAGAAGACATGGAAGATGAGGGCTAAGGGCAAGTACTGAGCGGCCATCCATGATGCATGATGCCGCCGCCACAGAGGTCAAGCTCACTTGAAGCAGTCTCCGCGATGTAGACTTACAATACACGGCCACATGACGTTCTCTTTCTCATTCATCAATAGCACGGGTTGAAAAGTTTTATACATCATATTCTACAGCTCAAATGTTGGCTAGCCTCTTTTGACGTCCGCTACCTTAGCTGGCAATAAAAGATGCTATGTATTGGGCATACAGTCACAACGCCCGCAAATCAACGCTCTTCTCAATCCGGCTGTAGGGCAGATATATCGCCTGCGCGCTCAATGCGCAGGAGTCCTCCGCGACGTCCACGGTCATCGCTATCCCCGCGGTCCGCCCCTGACCCAGAGCCGTGAGGCAACGGGCCTGGGAAGCGCCCGCTTCAGATGCTGCTGAGCGTCACGCGAGGGAAGCCCTCTCTAGCGTGTCGGAATGAGCCAAGTAGTACAGCGCCAAACTCCCCTATCGTAGGGTACCAGGCGCATTCAGTCGTCCTCCCCACGCCACATAGCGACTTTTGGACCCAAAAAGCTGCTGCTACTCATTATGCCCCTCTACTCTTCTTCCGAATCCGAAGACTCACTGTCATTGTCGTGAACAGGAGCTTCGTGCGCACGACCGGAGCTACCGGGTCGCTCTTGATCACCCGGTTCCTTGCCGTCGTACATATTGCGAAGCCGCTCGAGCTCGGCAATGCGAGCCTCTTGCTCTTGAGCATTCATGGGCTTGTTCTTCTTCGACTTGGACGGCTTGTTGGCCGACGACTTTGCCGCTGCGTTGTTCACTGGTGATGCTTCACGTGCTGGTCCATTCGAACCCAAGCCCTGCCCAAAGCTCGGCAAAGTCTTTTTGCACAGATCCCACAACTTGTGAAGCGCCTCGTTGGTGAGTTGGTCGATCTCCAGTTCGAGTTCGCCACTGCTATTTTCCTACAAAGATGGTTAGCATATATCTAATGAAGGTAATAAATTGGTTTGTCTTACCGATTGGCCAGTATCTTTCTTGATGATGTCGATGGCACGTTCTATATGAGGACTCTCAAGTTCGTTAATAGCGTTCGCGATAGCATCCTTCTCAGCTTGGTTCATGTTTCGTTGCTTGGGTTTCTTGGCCACGCCGCCACCGCTCTTCTTCGAGACGGGAGCCGCGGCTGCCTTTTTCGCGGGGACATTAGCCGCCTTCGACTTAGCAGGCTTTGGCGGCTTGGCCTTGGCGGCGCTCTTGGCAGGCTTTGTGGTGGTGAGCTTGGCCTTCTCGTCTATGAGACGCTGCCGGATAGTGGTGAGCAAAGACTGCTGAAGGTCGATAACAGCGTCACTAGCGATGTCCGCCGTCTTGTAGAGCTCGGTCAACTGCTTCGTCTCCTGCTCGAGACGCTTCTCCAGGAATGCAATCGTGGCAGCCACCGAGGGATCAACTGCAGGGGCTGGCGCCTCTTCCTCTTCCTCGGCTTCGTCTTCACTATCACGACTTGAGCCGTCATCCACTGGCTTCGCGGGGGTGTGCTTGTTTATCCACTGCTCCTTCTTTGACCACAGACCCCTGAAGATTTGCTCGAGCTGTTGGCCTTGCTCGTAGACGGGCTGACCAGGTTGATTGAACTTGTAACAGTTCTTAAAGACCTGCTTGACATCTGTTTGGAACTCCTTGATACCAGGATAGTCATAGCTCTTGAGCTTGGCCATAATCGTACCAAAGTCCATCGGCCGCTTGATGATGGTAAAATAGGTGGGGATGGCTAGAGCCACGGGATCGACCGGGGACAGGAATGCGAGGTTGCAGGAGGCGTTCTTGGGATCCATCAGTTCACTGACAACCTCGTAGCAGAATTGAAGCTCGATGGGCAACTTCTTCCGGTTGAAGGTCTTGGAGGAGTAGTCGGGGTCGCGGTTCTTGGTGGGCTGGATGGCGCGCTTGGGGCGGTCCAAGTCATTCTGGGTCGAGGCACGGCGAACTTGCGGCACACCACCAGGAGGAACGGCATAGGCTTCGGCCTCCGCCTTTGCCGGCGGGCTCGCGGCAGCAATGCTAGGCTGTCTACGAACAGGAGGCGGAGGGGCTGATGTCCGTGACTCTGAGTATCGGGAGGGCTTCGGCACTGGCTTCGACTTTGCGGGCTCGTCGGAAGGAATCTCGCAAACGCGGGTCCAGGCTAACTTAACCACACTAAGCGCCGCGAATGTGATTTCATTGTTGATACCGTTGAAAGTGACGGAGTTCTTGTAGATCAATCCAAGATCATCCTTGAACTGACGCAGGCTGCTGTACTTGTTGTCGCGCAGGCCTCGCTCAAGCTCGCCGATATCCATGGGTCTGTTAACCCGCATGAGATAGCTCTCAGCAAGGCTAGGCCACATCCTGACAACCGCGTCCTTGAAGTGAGCGCCGTGTTTGGTTTTCTTTACACCCGCCAACACCTTGCGGAATTCTCTCGTTTGGTGAGATGTAAGGGGTTTGGGGTCGCGTGCGGCATCGATCCATGAAGGGAGGTCTTCGAGAGCCGCTTCGCCTTTGGCCAAATCGTCCTGCGCGCCTTGGGGCTTAACCTCGACGGTGGACTCGATGGCTCCATCATTCGAATCGGTCTTCGCGCGCTTGGGAGCGGGCTCAGCATCCGCGTCATCTTCTCTCTCGCGAGAAACCTTGCTAACGGTTGATGGCGCCTCCGCCATGGGCACGTCTTCGTCTGCGGGCTTCGAGGGCTTGTCCTTTTCCTTGTCATTGTCAATGGCCAATTGAGACAAGCTTGCTGGTTGGAGATCTACCTCTTGATCAGCGGCAGTCGTAGGAGCCGCCGGCGACTCGTCCTTTGCTCCGTTGACCTTGTCGTCGCTCTCCTTCATTTCGACGTCCTTGTCTTTGGTTTCTGTCGCAGCCTTCGCAGGCTCAGAAGCCTCCGCCTTTTTCTCAGTTGCCTTCTCCTCTGGCTTTTCGTCGGTCTTCTTCTCCGCCTTTTCGACCTCTGGCGCATCGGCCATATCGACGTCGTTGGGAAGCTCAGCAGGAGGGGGGCTCAAAGACTTGCTAGGTTCCTTGCTTTCCTTTGACTGCTCAGGCTCCGCGGACTTGGACTTGGCAGAAGATTCATCGGCCGGTGCAGGTGACTTTTTGGCTGGTTCCTCTTTCTCCGTTTCCTTCTCGTTGGCGGCAGTTACTTTCGCATCGGACGACGACTTCACTTCCTCATCGTGCTTCCTGTCGCCATTGGTTTTGGGTGACTTTGCGGACTCGTCTGCCTTCTCGGAGCTCTTCTCAGCAGGGGAGGTGTGACTGTGGAAGGAGAAGCAATCATCAGCAATTGTGCTCTGAGAGAAGCCGTGCGAACGGGCAAATGAAGTCCATCGCACAACAAATGCAACTACTACTCACCCATTGGTTTCGGGCTTGCTATCGTCCTTTGCTGGTGTGGATTCGGTCGGCTTCTGATCCGGGACGGCGCGTTCTGATTGAGGCGACGCCATGACTGCCATATGGTGTTTGAGGTAAGGGCAGATTTACTGTGCGCGACGCAACATGAAGGTAGCGACGCGCGCAGATGTCTTTCAGGTTGCGGCGATGGCGGGATGCACAACAAGGATTCGGTTGGCTAACGTCGGGGATAGCGCCTTGGTGTTGCTGACTCGAGCGGCGGTGTATGCGCAAACCAAATCCTATGACTTTGAAGTCGTCGCGCGTGAAGCAGTAGCAATCGCGTCGATGATTCGAGATACGAGAGGATGTGGCGAGGCAGGGACAGCTGGGAGCAAAGAGCCGGCGCGGTTTTGGTTGTAATTAGAGAAGGTGCGTCGCGATGCTTTTGGATGCACGCGCGAGGCAAGCAGGGTCGACAGAGGCGATTGTGGGAGATGGAGGTACCGAAAATATCGCGGAGGATCCGAGGAAAGATTCGAGAATGCGCCGACGATGAGTGACGATGCGCAATTGATTATATGGTGGTGTCGCAAGTCGAGGTGATCGTCGGTTGCGGCGACGATGAGATGGGCGAAATGGTTAATCCGGCCGTGTCGCGTCGCGAATGGCAGGTGCGAGGTACTTTTTTTGCGATACGGGAAGGTGGAGGACCTGGGCGGAGGAAATCGCGTGCACGTCAGTGGTTTTTGGCCGAGATGGCGGCGCGTCCTATTTATGAGAAAGAACGAGCTTGGGAAGGGTGGCCCCCGGACAGCCGGTTATCTGGCCTTATCGGAGGAAGGCGCGCACTCGCGACTGGGCGACGGGTCCTGCTTCAGAAGGGGGTGCAGCCTGAAAACAGCGGCAGAAACAAAAAAATAAGTAGTGGCGTAGCGTTGGGCAGGAAGCCACGGGCCAGCAACGACGAGACGACGAGAAAGAGGCGGGAAGGAAAGACCGGGGGGGTAGAGGTCAGAGAGGGAAAGAGTGAGTGAGTGAGAGACTCAGAGGGAGAAGGTGGTCAGTGTGTCTGAGTGATCGACGACTGGGGGCGTGGGTGATTGAAGCCAGAAGGGTCAGGCAGGAAAGAGGTCCGAGTGGGAGGAAGCACGGAAGACGGGGAAGACTTGAGAAAAAAAGAGGGAAGAGATCGTGAATTTGCGAGGAAATGGTTGGAAGAGCAAGTTGAAGGAGGACGAGGGTGGACCGGGGGGGAGGGGGGCCGCAAGGTGACATAAAATGCATATTTATGCAAGTTGTGAAGACACTAGCCAATGAGGTGCTTGTTCAGCTCCCGGATCTGGCCTAAACGCGCGAGGCTGGGAAATGTGACTGGGGGCTTGGGATGCCATGTGGACCGTGTCTGCGTGGGACGTGGGAAATATTGAATGTGAAATGCAAGACGGGAAGGCGTCTCTTTCTTGTTGTGTTGACCGATAATTGAGGATACGGCGATCGAGGACGGGGATAAATATGAGATTCGGTACGAAGTACGTATGCGTTGCGAACTCACCTAAAGAAAGTTCGAGGCGCGTTTGTGATGCTTTGTTCTTGCCTTGTATCGATTTGTTTCCTAAGGTAGTGTCTAGACACCCATCAGTGGTTAGTATTGGCATCGTAGTACGGATACAAGTACAAGTAATGCAAGCTGAGGTGTGGCTGAGCCTGTCGATCATGTAGGAGATGCGTGAGGCTGGTGGACTTTTGATGAGTGAACCAGGCCAAGGGGCGCGACACAGGCAACGCAACAAATGCCAGCCATCGCGACACCTTGGATTCCAAGCAGGAGGGGCCAGGCGGAGCGCGCGACATCAATTCGTAGGCTGTGCAAGAGCAAACATGGTTTCTCATTTCTGAAAGTACAATAATGGTCCATAGGTAATGGTAGATAGAGTGGTGGCAGATGAAGCCAACGCGGTCCGTCCGTTGCATCGGCAGGAAGAAAACGACAGTAGAGGGGATGCAAACACCGGAGGAATAGCTCAACACGTCGTGTACGCGATGCAATCAACTGGTGATACAGAATAGTGCGAGTACAGTCGTGAGGTGAGGGCGTGTTTGGTGGTAGTTGGGAAGCGCAGAAAAAGAATTGACTTTGTTGGATGCGACGGGAAACAAAATCGGTACGTACCGGAATGATCCCCAATCGAATAAGAGAAAGCTCTGAGCCAACACTGTTCGCTCCGAGGTATCTGTGTCTCTCCGAGGTCTCGTGACAGATCAGATGACCAATGTCAGGCTTCTTTGAACTTTTTCCAGGACTTTTCTGCATCAGAAGCGCGAAATTCAGAATTCGGGGCCACTTCTTATTTGTAGGAACCCGCCAAGTCGCGCTGACCCCAGTCAGAGCTCGACAGATTACCCTTGCCAGGGCATACGACAGGGATAGCTGCAGTCTGATGAACCAATCATGCTCTGACAGTGGATCGCGATGAGACAAATATGGCATAGCACAGAGAGACGGGACCAAGCCTTCCTGAGAACCGTGTCAGCCAATCAATAGCCAGCGCTCATTGTGGCGCAAAAGCTCTCGCTCGAGGGTAGCTGGACAGCAGCGTCCATGCCCCCAATCACCTTCTTGTTTACTAGTGAGCTTCTCAAGTTCTGATGGTCCGGCCAGACTCTGTTGCTCTCTCTGTTGCTCTAGCTTGAGGCTTTGCACACCTTTGCGAATAGCTTCCTTCAGATTCTGGCTTGCGCACTGTCGCGTCGCCGCTTGCTTGACTCGACGTGGAACTTGCGTCGGTTCTACTACGCGGTCATGTTTAGACAAACAGCGTGCGGCCCAGATGCAGACAAATGATTGAGCCGAGAGGCTATAAACAGACTGCCCTTCACAGTCAACAGTCGTCCATCGCGTCGATTGGCGTTAGTGATTTATGCAGATGCATCTCTTGACCTCAAACTCAACAACGATGAATGGGACAGAGCCTCCACTTACATAAGCGGCTGAGATGGAGGCACGTTACGTCGGCAAAAGGTCTTTCCGAAGCCGAGAATATCGCGACCGGACCCGACACTGATGAGAACAGCCCCACCTCGACTCATTATGTCAGCGAGACCCCCCGCGGGCGGTCATGTACATCCAACCAGAAAAAAAATTGGTTGGCGGCAGAAAAAAAAAGTTCAAGCAGGTCTGTCGCTGCTGGAGGAGAGGAACTCGATCACGACTTTTCCCACCTTTGTTTCCACCACCCGATTCCCTCGAGATACCCCCCCAAAAATCCGTTACCATGTCATCAAGGCGGAGATCTTCCGGCAAATTCACGGCACCAGTCGTCAAGTCGACGCCCAAGGCTTCCAAGACCACAATTGACGAGAGCAGAGCCGCCGTCTCCGCGACAGACTCTCTGCAGGCCGCACTCAAGGGCAACGCCAACGAAGCGATTGAAATTTCTTCCGGCGAGGAGAGCGATGAGGATGTTTCAGACGAGGAAATGGAAGGCGCCGAGGTCGAGACCGGCAACGCAAAGGAAGCCGTGAACGGCACCGCTACAGAAGAAACCACCACCATACAAACCAAGGCCGATGCCGAGGCCGGCGCCGCAGAGGAGGAAGAGGAGGCAGGGTCGCCTACCTTTGGCGAGCTGATCCGCGGCACGATCGACGTCCCCGCCATGCTCGCGCAACAAGACGACGCCAGCAGTAAGGCCCTCGTCTCGCAGTCATCAAGAAAGGGCCTCGAGCCCGTGTCGTTATCCTCTCTCAGCACCGTCCTCACCCAGGCGCTCAAGACCGACGACACCGATCTCCTCGAAAACTGCCTGCAGACCAGCCAGCCCGAAGGCATCAAGCAGACGATTGAGCGCCTCGACAGCAGCCTCGCCGGCGTCCTCCTCACTAAGCTCTCCGCCCGCTTCCACAGACGGCCCGGTCGCGCGGGCAGCCTCATGGACTGGGTCAAGTGGACGCTCATCGTACACGGCGGAGCGTTGGCGGTTCAGCCCAAGGCCCTGGAGCGGTTAGTCGCGCTACAAAAGGTCCTCAGCGAGCGCTCGCGCGGTCTGCCGAGCCTGCTCGCCCTCAAGGGCAAGCTGGACATGTTGCATGCGCAGATGGAGCTCAGGAACGGACGGACACGTGGAGGTGACGCCGCGAGACAGCTCGAGGACGCGGATGGCGAGGATGACGACGAGGAAGAGGGCGCCATCTACGTCGAGGGCGAGGAGGATGCCGAGACGGTGTTGAACGGCGCAAGGAATGCGCTCCTGGGAATTGACGACGATGATGACGATGAGGTTCCTGGTGCCAACGGCTTCGTCGGCGACTCGGATGACGAAGATGATGAGGAGGAGGTTGCTGCGGCGGAGGATGAGAGCTCGGGCGAGGAGGTTATTGACGAGGACGAGGTCGATCACGACGATGTTGAAGATTCGGATGAGGACGACGACAGCGACGCGGAGGCGGCACCGCCGACAAAGGTTCAGAAAACTGCTTCTTCGTTCGCCAAGAGAAAATAAGGGGATGAGTCGGCTTCACGAGGGCGTAGAGAATGGTGGGGTAGAAACGGCACATAGACTTGGCTTGGCCGACAATTGACATAATATTGTGCAATAGGGCAGAGATTGCGTCGTATGGAGTTCTTGGTCAATCAAAATCAAAGGGTATTTGGCAAGCAGCATCTCGTGATGGTGAACCGGGTGATGTCTCCTCGACTTCTTAACGGAGAGAGAGCATTTACGATGCGAGAGTCAACAGTACCATTGTGCGTCTGATATTATCCATGCTCAAATTCTCGGGAAAGTGGAGTCGCCAATTGCTTGGAATATCATGATTGCCAGCATCGCCATCCATTCAGAAGACATTGCGAGTAGAAGCCGTATTCTCGGACTTCTCGCACCGATGAGACCCGGCTCACCGGCTCACCGTGGCTCCACATTCCCGCTTTGGGAAACGGAGGCACGAACCTCCATGGTCCATCTCCACCGACGATCTCCCCTACAACACCATCCCCGCCAACCACGCGCAAGAAATGCAACCTCAGTCAACCCCAATGCCAATTGAACCAGTGAGGATGAAGCAACATGAAGGCCCATCATATGCTGACCCTTCTTCTACCCGTATGCCCGGTATCGCGGGGGTGCCGGGGGTAGCTCCTCCAAAAAGCACATAAGAAGCAGCTCTGATCCCACTTCAATAACAATACCAGCTCGTTCTCTTGGCATCTTACCCCAGATCGCAATCGTGAAGATTACCTCTCTCCAAACCACGACCTCGACAATGCGCCCCCATCCAGCCTGGGCAACAGCCCTCCTTCCAGCCCTCGCGACCGCCGCCTCCCTCCAACACATCACAACCGACTTCGGCCCCAACCCCACAAACGTCTCCTTCTACCTCTACGTCCCGGACTCTCTCATCCCCAACGCGCCCCTCCTCGTCTTCCCGCACTGGTGCCACGGCAACGCGACAGACGCCTTCAACTACAAGCCCTGGCGGCCCCTCGCCGACACCCTCGGCTTCGTCACGATATACCCCTCCACGCCCCACACCGCAGACTACTGCTGGGATGTTTCCTCGCCGCAGACGCTCTCGCACGACGCCGGCGGTGATTCTCTGGGAATCGTGAGTATGGTCCGCTGGACTCTGCAGAACTACGACGTCGATCCGGATCGTGTATTCGTCACCGGCGTGAGTTCTGGCGCCATGATGACAAACGTCCTCGTCGGGGCGTACCCGGACGTCTTTGCCGCGGGCTCGGCGTTCGCGGGCGTGCCGTTTGGGTGTTATGCTGCGGATGGGTTCGCCGTGTGGTCTGACGACTGCGCGAGCGGGCGGATCACGCATACGGGCGAGGAGTGGGCTGCCATTGTGGAGGCTGCGTATCCGGGGTACGCCGGCCCGAGGCCGAAGCTGCAGGTTTTGCACGGGGACGTGGATAATGTGCTGAATGTGACGAATTTCTACGAGGAGATCAAGCTGTGGACTACGGTGCTGGGGACGGGGGCTACGCCGACGGAGGTTGTGGAGGATGATCCTGTTGCGGGGTGGACGAAGAGTGTGTATGGGACGAAAGGGCTGTTTGAGGCGTTTTTGGCGCATGGGATTGATCATAATATTCCTGATCAGGCGGATGAGGTTGTTAGGTTCTTTGATTTAAATTGTGTTGGGGAGAACTGCTTCTCGCGCAAGTCGTTGCCTGTGCCGGGGACTTGTGCTAAGAGACGGCGCTCATCAAAGGCTTACTAGCCTACCGTGGATATATTGAAATGGATGGGCGAGTAATTATCATTCAAGGAGTATTGAGCTACAAACATTAAGCGTTGCTTAGATACATGCTATGTATACTTCATTACCTAGTGGTTTATTCTGACAGTTCTCTTGAGTAATTAGCATTGGCAGCGTAAGTCTGTTCTCTACGGCCGCGGCCTTTCTAGAAACGAAGTGAGCTTGATGTCGGAGTTCACTACCTGAATATTCATACTGGACAACCGATACGTAGATGGAGCATTATCAGGTTTATCTAAGTCGATGCAAAAAAGAGTTCACCCCCCCGGTGCTGAGCTGGGGGCTACATCTCTTGGTGCTCATGCCGGGAAATTTGGTGCTCATACTGGGATTCGAACTCGGGGACTCGCTAAGCCTGTCGTCGAGTAGGCTGGTTGGCGTATAATATGATTGTTGACCATGAACCATTCCACCACCCAGCCAGTTTGACCTGACCCGTCGACCTAGACGGGCGCCTGCTGGCTGGTGACGGGAATGAGATTGAGGGGACCTATATGACTTTCTCACGGAAGGTGCGGGCCTGCCTAAGGTATCCATCTAGCCGTAGATAAACCATGGAATATGTGAATACTCCCAAGCATATCTTGCATTGACTACTAGGTAGATATTTACCAACAAACACCAGACTGCGTATGCCCAAAACTCTTGACATCATTCCAAGCTGGCGCCCTCTTCGTCTCATTCAACACAACCATGGCGCAATGCTTCGCATGCTCCCACGCGTGAACAACCATATCCGCCTTTGTCCCCAAATTCAGCGTCGCAGCAGCCTGCAGCAAAAGATACAGGCAGTGCGTCATGTGATGTCCAACAGTCGTCCAAGCCGGCGTCAAAATCTCAAACTCATCCAGCTCTTCGTCGGAAATCTCAGCCCCCGGTTTGCCGTCGTCGTCCCTGTAGAACTGAAACGTTGGCTCCTCCTCGCCGCCGCTCAGGGCTTCAAATACGGCTTGTCGGGCGTGTTCGAAATCTTGTGTGCAGGCTGGGGGCATCCATCTGTTGTGCAGCTTGTTGAAGGCACAACCTCGGCGTTTGGCTTCGATGGTCGAGTTTCCGCACCAGAAGTGTCCTTCGGCGACTTCGGCTTCTTTCATCCACTTCAGGACGTTGTCTTCGCCCTCTTCTGGTTGGGGGTAGTCTTGTCGACTTAGTTTCGAAGTTGAGAGCGGGAGCCAGGATAGGATTAAGGCTAATAGGAGCAGTGCTGTGGCAGAACGCCATCTCCAAAGGGAGGCTTTGCTTCTTCTCAACTCTTGCGCCCATGCATCTCCTGCATCTCCCTTTTCGTCTGAGTCTTCTAGTGGTATGTATTGCAAGTTTTTAGAGGACCACCATCGGTGTTTCTTGGCCGTGTTTTGGATGCTCCTCAGCCGCCCCTGCCCTTCGGAGGATCTTCGTCGGTGCTCCTCTTCACGTAAAGTTGATTCATCCATCATCACACGACCCGACGAAAATATTTGTTCTGTTGGGTGGGTTCCGCTTCAGATGCCTCACATATAACAACTGTGTGGTCTAAGAAAAAAGAGACTTAATTCGTCTTTTCTCTGGGGAAAGCTCTCAGTTATCACAATTCTCTGAGTTAAGGTTGTCTGAAAATTGACAATCTCTATTTAGGATAAGTATCTTGATACCTAGGTGGTCTGTTATCATGTTGAACTATTATTGTTCGTTCAATTAACTCTCGGTCCGAAGACTCTTAGTGGCCAATTCGGACCGCAGTTCTCCACTAAGGCTAAGTTGGTACCCCAGAGTTGAGGCTTATGCATGATTCAGGGATCAGGAGCGTCAGCGACAGTAAGTTGTTAACTCCGGGATGATGCAATTCTCCTGTATCTCTTATCAATAACTTCTCTCAACCATCGCACTCTCTTGCTTTTCGTTCAATATAGGGCCGTCTTCCCCCCGTCAACGCCATGCCACCCCTCACGTTGTTCGATTTAATTCCTTATTGTCCAAGGTCTCGCGCCGACGACTGCGCAAGCGATCGAGCAAGACACTTCACAGGCATCATCGCCAGCCATGCTCGACAACACGACTACAGTATCCCGCCGATGGAGTCGATCGACAAGGGGATGCATTACCTGCGCACGATCCAAGGTCAAGTGCTCAGAGGACCGGCCTTCATGCCAGCGATGCAGTCGCCTACAGCGTCACTGCCAGTGGCGTGGAGATCATGTTCCCCTCCGAGAGCGAAGGCGCGGGTTTGGCCCTGTCAAATCTCGCCTTCAGTACATGCCTCCTCCAATATTGCCCTCGAAGGAAATCTCTAAAAACACTGTCCAGCAAAGGGTCGAAAGCGACAAAAGTCCCCTCGATTGGGGAGGGAGTCCCTCAACGACGTCGGTGAAAGAAAACGAGTCGACAACTACGACTGATCCGGTTCTAAATCATGCAGCGCACTATGACGAAGGCATGGCCTTGGATGTTAGATTTAATCAGAACATAGCGGCATCACCTCAAGCACTGCTGAGCACTGGACACATACCATCCCGGTGCTCGATTCTCTTTGGCCCCTTGGAGCAGGACGCTCTCTATTTCTTCGAGAACGTCTTCTCAAAGTGTAGTCCCAAGACCTTCTTATGGTCCAAGTTGGCCATCCTGCTTCATCATGCCTACGACGACGCCACGGTCATGCATTTGCTGCTGGCGTCATGCCTTGGCACCGTTGCCCGGAATCACCCGAACCGTTCAGTGTTGGCCACGGCCAAGTCTCATTTCACAATGGGAACCAACAGCTTTGTCGACGGAATGCAAGAGCCGATTTGTAATCATACAAAGACTTTGATGGCCTTTTGGCTGTTGCAACTCACGTACCGTGCGATCTGGGATGATAAATGTCGTCGGGCTATGCAGAAGCTCAGCTCTGCAGTAGCAGACTACGTCCGCAAGCATCGTCTTCTGAACCTCTTCGATGCCGAGGAGTCTCCACTCCGGGATCTCTCTAGCAGCCCATCTTCTGAAGAGAAATCCGCTGTTGATTCGGTCTCTTCTCCTCTGGCTCTGCCTGCGAACAGGAGTCTTGTCGCGAGTCTCCTGCTCTTCATAGCGTATGAGGACCTGGACTCTGAATCTTGCGGCATTGGAGGCAACGTTTCTCGCCTGGTACTCTCCGGCGATGGTGCATCGCGCTCCCTGTTTGCCTGTTCCCGGCATGTCCACGCTGATTACTTCGGGTCGCTGTATCCTTGCGAGGAGTTGATGGATGATGTAGAGCGATCAAAGCCCTTGGAGCTTCACTTTTTCGCAAACATTTGTCTCGATCGATTGCATCGGGCCCAAGTATCCATTATTGACGAAGACGAGTTGAATGGCATAGTGACTACGCTACATCGTCTACGAGAGGTAAGACAATAGTCTTTCCTATATCCCTTTACATCTTGCAGACCCCATGTTGGACTGGCCAATAACAGCGGCTGACTTCCGAGGGGCTGAGCAGGAATATTCGGCCATATTCCGCTTGGCAGAAGCCCCCAATCCAGCCGATGCAAAGTTGATCACAGCATCCTACAGCATCGTTATCCATTTCCATGCTGTCCTTGTCAGTGTCCTAATTGCCATGGCCTCTGCTTCACCATTCGAATCGATTCAACAAGATCTTGCCGTCGCCCAAAACGATCTCCTCCGGGTGATTTTCCGGATGGTTACACAGAGGCCAGAGAGACCGTTCATGTGGCGGAACCAATGGGCTGTCTTCATCATGGCGAGGCAAACAGACGACGCGGTTCATCGGGATTGGTTGGTACAAAAGCTTGGTAATAGCAGCTATGCTATGTTGCTCAAAGAAGGCAGAGAGCGGAATCTCGGTTTGCTGGCCTAGCTATCAAACAACTATGGCTCAAACTCCGTTGCCACAAGAGCAAAGTTTCTTAACAGGTGTGCTCATCTGAGAGGAGTCTTTCGTGATAAGAGACATCTCCTCCTCAAGAGAAATCTTCAACCTCCTCTCCGATACAGTTTCTTCGAACTCACGCTGAACTTTGGATGCCACCTCATCGTCGGTCAAGACAGCCCATGCGGACCTCGCCAGAGCCTTGGCAATAAGAAGACTTCGCTCGTGTGCCGATTCGGCTCCGGCAGCTTCCGTGAAGCCGGCAGTGTGGTTACTCTGCCCTTCCTTGGCCTCAATCCCGTAGATAGGATGGATGACAGGCACAACACAGCCAACGTTCCCTTGGTCGGTAGCCCCAGAGATGACCTCCTTGGTGTCGACGTCGCACCACATGGGAATGCCCAAGTCTGCCGCAGCGTCCGCAAACACCAGAGAAAGCTGCTTGTTCGGGCGCAAGGGCGCGTAAAAGACATCGTACTCGACCTTCATCTCGCAGCCCGTGGCGATGGCGCCAGCGCGGTAATTCGCAATGACGCGGTCTCGCAGCTCCTTGGTCTTCTCAATGGTTGGCGCGCGCACGGTATAGTCAACGGCAGCAAAGTCGGGAATGATGTTGCTCTTGACGCCGGCGTCAGTGAAAATGCCATGGACGGTGGAATCTTTCGTCATCTGCTGCCTCATCATGCTGACGCCGTTGTAGCCGAGGACAGCAGCATCGAGAGCATTCACGCCCTCCCAAGGCGAGGCGGCGGCGTGCGCAGCCTTGCCCTTGAACTTGATTCTGAAGGCGGTGGCAGAGACATGATTGACAAATACGTCACCGTGTCGCCCTTCGTTACCGTAGGTGAACATTGGGGCCGGGTGAGCCATCACGCAGGCTGCGACGCCGTCGTATGCTCCTTTGCCTACGAGCATGCCCTTGCCGCAACCACCTTCTTCGGCCGGAGTGCCTAGAAGTCTAACGCGTCCAGGCTTGCCGGACGCCTTCAGGGCGGCAACTGTGGCGATGAAGCCAGCTAGGGATGCGGTGGCGATGAGGTTGTGGCCGCAGGCGTGGCCGATTTCAGGGAGCGCGTCGTACTCGGCGTTGAAGACGACGAGACGGCCGCCTTCTCCGTAGTCTGCCTCCAGAGATGTAGGAATTCCGTATGCGTGAGGGGTGACTTTGAAACCAAGCTTCTTGAGTACTTCGACGAGAGCATCGTGCGCGTGAAACTCTTGATAGTTGAGTTCCGGATGATGGAATATCTAGAACGTCGAAGCCTGGGTCAGCTTGGACAAGTTTGTGCTGACGTCCCTTTGCGGGACACAAACGGCGGTGCTTGGGACTACTCACGTCTAAGTCGACCTCTCTCAGCAAGGTTTTGGCATCGCTGATGGATTTATCCATTGCACCAGCGATCTCCGGGGCAATGGTGGCCATGTTGGGAACGAATTGAGATGTTAAAGGGAGGATACGAATGTTCATATTGGCTTGGTAGACCTGAGATGAGGCAATCCTTTCTTCCGTTTGATGAACAGGACGAACCTCGTAACTTGAACATGCGGAAGGGAGGCCAGCTTTTATGGATATTCAGGTCTGCCCAGCACAGAACTGATTTGTGCCTTGCTGACCTTGATTCCTTCTCATAAGGACGCTGGAGCATGATTGCGACATGTTGCGCTCAGATGGTCGTGATATTGGAACCCGGACGCCGATGAGATGTCGTCGATGACTGGTCAGAATTACCGACGAAGATAATCGTTGACTCCACATCGCTCCTCAGGGGAGCTGATTGTGATACCTATGACAGCCCAGTAGCATCCCTTCGTCCCCAAAAACTTTGAAGAGTGGTGCCTGCCCGGCTCTGAGCGAATATTTTGATAACAGAATCTTCTATTTTCCGTCATCAAAGGGCGATGCAACGGCAAGAAGCAAGGGACATACTGTAAGTCTTTACACGCAGAGGGCTCGGGCGCGCCCGACGACAGTGCATAGGATCTTACATACTATGTTTTAACCACAAGGCACGGCTTCTCTCGACCTAGGTTTACTTGATTGATTTGTGTTGATGTAGAAATTGAGGCTTTGTTTCATAGATAGAAGAGAATCTCAAAAACACCTATGCCCTGCCTGAATATCTTGAGCCCATCAAAGTCATGACTGCTGTTGGGATCTGCCAGCTTTGCCAGGGAACGGTGGAAGCGGTTTCATCAGGCGTCGAGCACGCTCACTGCCATCATCATCGGCTGCGGTATACTGTGGCCCTGGAAAATAGCCTTGACCATAGGCATAGCCCCCATTCCTGATGTCTCTCTGCTGGTCCTCGAGAGCCACGACGTTGCTGACATAATCGTTGTACCTATGCATAGTGGCTTCCTCTCTAGCCCTGGCTCTTTGCCTGCCCCAGACGACAAGTATGAGAAAGACGAAAACTATGGCAATTAGAGAGATGCCTGTAATTAGGCCTGGACGTATGTGGGTCTTGTAATCGTCGCCAATTTCTCGTTTGGTATGGTACCTCGAGGTGATTGAGGTTATATGAGCTATTCGAATTTCGAATGTCTTGAAGATGCTGAGAGCGGCTATTGAGTTTCCGCTTTTCGAAATGGGAGGCATTAGAATTGTTAAGTAATCTGATGATCTTCGCGCGGCGCAATGTTTCGGAGATATTTCAGACCTATCTGGTCTCGTCAAATCCGCTGTAAGCTCTTGTAGGTTTAATGGCAGCCGCAGAATGTGTAATCAGCGATAGTAGAAAGATGGCGGATCTACGTTTTCAAGTACAAACAAGCACACTTATAGTCTAGTTCGTCTTATTGCCATTAATATAATAACGGAAAAGCCTTCCAAGGCTGACTGTCTAACACTGGCAGACTCAGGTGAAGCTCTCTTCAATGGATTGATTGCCTCAAATCGGGCGAAACGCTCTGCCCCAGAAGGCTGAACCAAGTCAGGCAGTGGCAAAATGTGGCCAGACGATATTGATGTTTGTTCACATTCCTCACCACTCTGATTCGTTGGGACATGCTTTGCTGTTAGGATCAGCGACCCTGTCGCCAAGCAGCAGTGCGTGCTGATGGGTCACAGCCCCTACCTCACTTACACCGCCGCAGCCACTGATTCTGCCCATTTGCTTGGCTGACTACTGTCTTTGCCCGGCAATAGTGTATTGCACATTTCGGGAATTTTTAGAATGCCGAGAAGCTTGGCCCAGGAGAGACTTGTGTTGAGGGACCTGATAAGATTAAATGCAGTCAAGTACATCATAGTAAAAATGATTGATGGCGGCCAATTGAGATGTAGCCGGTTTCTTGAGTTGTTGCAACAGGCAGGTATTACCGTCATAGCTTGACTACCTTGAACTATATACGACCTCAGTTGGTTGTGAAGTTCAGACCTCGCAACCAAGAAAACTACAGTCACTTAAGCCTTTCCTCCTCCTTGAGCTCGTGAACCAAAACGCGAGGGCCCTTTGGAATGATAAGGGGCCCGGTAATTCCCAAGACCCTCGTCCTAGCACCGCCATATCCCTCCTTGAACCTCGACACCCACGTATCCGTCGTACTGAAGAACGCGCCGTGCGTCCTCTCACTCTGGTCCCAGTATAACCTCCTGAACCAAAGGTGCAGATTCGGGTAATCGTTCCGGATCGTGCCCAAATTACACATAAAAATCGGGACATATGCAACGTCAAACCGGGCAATCGTTGGAAACAGGCGGACATCAGCCTCAGTAATGTGATCGCCGGTCAGGAAAGGCCGGTCCTCGAGAATATCCTCTAGACGATCTAGAGATTTGAACAAGGCGTCGACGTTCTCCTCGTAAGCGGACTGCGTGAACGCAAACCCGCTTTTGTAAACACCGTTGTTGACCGTGTGATACACCCACTCATTGATCTCATCAATTTCCTTACGCTTCTCCTTAGGGTACAGGCCGCCGCCGGGTCGACTCTCCTCGCGGTCCACCTCGGGAAGGAGGTGATCGAACTCGGTGTAGAGCATACGGATAATTTCGCTAGACTCGTTGCTGACGAGAGTATGCAACTTCTTATCCCAGAGGACAGGCACCGTGACACGGCCATCGTAGCCGGGACTTGCTTTGAGGTAGAGCTCCTTGATCGTCATGAAGCCGTAGACGGGGTCGCGCGGAAGAACGCCGAATTTCGCTGCCTCGGGGCTATCTGTGAAGTGCCAACCTTCTTTGCCCATGCCCATATCTGCGACGTAGAGGTCTACGACGTCCTCGAGGCGTTTGAGGGCCCGAACGATCATGACGCGGTGGCACTGCGTTTTGTTAGCGGGGCATTCGCTTTGATGTACATGAGGGCTTACCCAAGGACACCCGGGGCTGACGTAGAGAGCATAGCGACCCTTCTCAGCTGCGAATTTGGCGTTGGCATCATTCGCGATGAAGTTGCGGAACTGGGCTTCAGTGCGCTCGAAACCTCCGCCTTTTCCGGGCTGGTACCGGATGGGGTCTTTCTGTAATGAAGGGGTTAATATGCATGCTTTTGGTATTCATAGGTGTATGCAACCGCACCTCTTCACTCATATTAGTTGTGTGTTGAGGTAATAGCTTTGTACTTTTATGATAGAAAGCAGGTCGGACCTTTGCAAGTCGGTAAGTGTGCGATACCAGATCTCATATACTTTTGATGGATTGATACAGCTTGGAGCCGGTGGGATTTGAACTGCGCTGATATTATGTGGCGTGATGAGGGGCCTGATATTAGCGGATGGATTGCTTTGTTAGGAAGCATATCAAGGGAGTAGATGTGCTTCCACAAAGTAGGTGAGCGTGACGTAAAAATAGACTTCTCCAGCTTCCCAGAGCGGGGAAGCTGCATCAATCCCGCGCGGTTCGGAACTCCGAGCGCTCGTGGCGCGCGGGCAGTCAGCAGGTGTAGTTTGGGATGAAGGCCATTTGTCAGCTTTGCGCTCACGAGTCCAAGTTTATAAGCTCGTTGTATACCAATTTCTCCTCCATAGCGCCTATACCAAGTAGATTCTAGGACCTCGCCATTCTCCATCTGGGCTTACTGTACGCTGATTTGGTGGCATCGGTAGAGGTGTTAACATTTCGAGGCGTTCGAAGAAAATCACCCTCAAGTTAGTAAGTCGGAACACCCCCATTCGGCCACCCCCCCCATTCGGCCACCCTATTAAAAGTAGGTCTAAGCACATCGCTACTAATTATAATTAATTAATTAACTACTTTTTACTACTATTATAATATAGCTACTACCCTTACTAAGTAATTCGATTTTTATAATTTAACTAAGACTAATTAAATACTTATTAATATCTTCTTAAGCCCTCTTTATATCCCTAATATTAATAAACTTAGTATTTAAGTTTATTTAAATACTCTTTTTTTTTTAGGAGCTATATATTTAACTCTAGCTTTTAAAACTCGAACTTATTATTAAAATAAAATTAATAAAAAGGACTTCTTATTAAAGGCTTTTTTAACTTTATAAAAAAATAAACATTAAATATTATAATTAGGCCTAAGCTCTATAAATAGTTTTAACTACTTATAAGAATTATTAACTTTCCTAAGAGTTAATTAGTTAATAATAAACGTTATAAAAGTCTAGTTAACGACTTTAATAATATTAGTAATTATTTACTTAGTATTAATAATATTATTTAATAATATAGCTAGGCTAAATAATATTATAAAATTATTAAAAAATATAGCTATATTAAGTAGTTATAAGCTAGTTATTCTCTAATTATTTTATATATTATCCCTTATTAAACTAAGTAAATAAATAATAATATAATAGGCTAAGAAGTACTATTTTTTAATAATAATAAAATTATTTACTATATCCTCTTTACTAAGCTCCTTTTTATAATAAGTTTTAATAAGATTAAAAATAACTATATTTAATAATTAGAGAATATAAGAGGTATATAATAATAAGAATAATAAATAAACGTTATTAATATAGTATTTTTATATAAATTTTATTATTATATAACTCCTATACTTATTTAGAATTAATAATCGAGGCTCTAGTTATAAATTAGGTCCCCTAGTTAGGGGGGGCTTAGTTTATAATAAAAAGACTATTCTTAACTATATAAAAATAATTTAGTTTATAGTTTACTTATTATTTATTATTATAAACTCCTAATTATCGAGATTTTTAAAATTAAGGAGGAACTATTATTATTAAACCGACTTTTTTTATAAATTAATAGTAGTTTAATAACTCTATTATTAATAAAAATATACTTAATAATAAAGATTTAAAAACGCGATCTAGGCTCTTTTTTCTATATTATATTAGTCTTAATTATACTTAAAACTAGCTTATTAAATCCCTTATCCTTAAGGATACTAGTTTTATTTATATTATATTTATTAACTTATTTAATATCCTTAATTTCTAAAATATTAAATAATTAGAACTAAGGCCTAATTACTTTAATAAATACTTTATTAATACGCTTTAAATCTATAAAACGACTTTT